AGTAAAGTAATACTTCATTTATTATTAAATTAAAGTATAATAAAATAATTAAAATAGTATAAAAAGTGAATTTAGATCACTTTTTATTTAATATAAAAAAATTATAAAGATTAGTTAAAATTTGAATAATTTTTATTAGAAACAATTATTAATTTTTATATTGGTGTATCAATCTTCTTGCAACGGCCCATATGCAGATAGTTCTCTCTAAGAAGCATATTTTTTATTAGGTCAATCCGCATCAATCCTCCCTGATAACTATTTAAAGTTAAAATTTCACTAATTAAAAATATTCATGTAGATCACTCAATTTCTTTATTAAAACAAGTATAGGAACCGGGTATTCTGAATCGATGTTAGAGTCACTATGTAGAATTTCTTTTCGTAAAACCTTTTCTTGTTGCATTTCCTTTGTGAGCCACTGTATTTTGAGATTGCTAGATAATGTATCCGGGTACTTTGTAATATTAATCATATAACTTCCTTCGCGATAATACACTACATTTAAAAATAGAAGAAAACATGCTTATCCATTTAAAATCAGATGCTATGACGTCGCGTCGTGAATATTTATTAAATATTATCGTTATAATATGCATATATACCTTTTATACCTTTTTCAATGTTGGAACCTCAACCCCGAAAAGTTTGGGCTATTGCTCACACTGGCGCTTTAAATAATCTAAAGTACGAAGACGATTTGCTGCCTCCTCCACCTTCAGATAATGTTCGCGTAAAAGTACATTGCATTGGATTGAATTTTGCGGATATTTTCGCGATTTTGGGTGTTTATTCAGCCACCCCTAAAGAAAAATTTATTCCGGGTTTAGAATTTTCCGGCGTAGTTGAGGCGGTTGGAGAGAATGTCGACGAAAAAGAATGGCTAGGAAAGAGAGTTTATGGTGTTACAAGATTTGGAGGGTTTGCAACATTTATCAATACAAGAATCGTGTATATTAAGGAAACGCCCGAAAGATGGACCGATCAACAGGCTTGTGCTTTCTTGGTAGGCGAATTTTTTATTGATTTGAAAAAAGTATTTGTATAAGTTGCATTAACAATTCCGTTAGGCCCAAGGGATGACAGCGTTTTATGCGCTCAAAGAACTTGGTGCACTCAAACCCAAACAGACAGTATTAGTTCATTCGGCTGCTGGAGGAGTAGGACTTTTAGCACTCGCCATTCTCGCGAAATTTCAAGCGAAAGCAATTGGAACTGTTGGTGACAGTTCTAAAATCGATGTATTAAATGCTAAATATGGGGATGATCCAAATTTTTCTTTTATTCTACGCGATCCTGCTCGAGATTTTGAGGCGCGTGCAAAAAATGAACTACGAAAAATGGGTGAAGAAGGATTTGATATAGTGTTGGATAGTGTTATGGGGGATTGGTTTTGGCCGAATTATAGATTAACGAAAAGTGCAGGTCGATTAATAGTATTTGGCTCAGCGAGTTTGACGCCAGCTGGTAATCTGCATCCTATATGGAATATTTTTTCATGGATAAAGTTGGCATGGAAATATTTCCAAAGACCAAAATTCGATCCGATGCAGATGATTCAGGATAACAAAGGAGTAAGTGAAATTTTCTCTTTCGAATAAACTATATTTTGAATAGATTTATTAACTTTTTTATTTCAATTCAAAAGATTCTTGGATTTAATTTGATCCATGTTTACCATCAAGAAGAAAGGCTTAATAGTGTCTTTGATGAATTATCATCATTGGAATTGGACCCACCATTAGTAGGTCATGAATTCCCTTTTGAACAAGTACACGAGGCAATCCAGTTATTGCAATCAGGTAAAAGCGTGGGTAAAGTTGTACTTAATATAGAACATGTGTGAAATATTTTTTATTTTTGTTTCTCTATTACATTTTCATTGACATGTTCCTATCATATTCTGTAATTTTGTTGTTTGTTAATTGGAATTATAATAACAAATCTCAATATTAAGAGAAAATAAAATACCAAAATTTTATCCTGATAATTTACTGGAATGAACAGAAAGAAGCAAAAATAACTGTGAAGATTAACAGGAACGCAGTTGAAATGTAAGGTTGCATTTTCGGTCCAACGTTTAAAATATTTGGTTTGGAAGAAACAGGATTTGATGGACTGCTAGGACTCGCGGCACTATTACCACCCGAAGGGCTGCCCAGAGAGGTGGTGTTTTGAGTATTAATAATGGAAAACGTTTGAGAGTATCCGTTAACTTGTGCCCCACTATAGACTCGTACGGAGTAATCAGATGCATTTTGAAGTGATGCATCTTGTAAAGTCCTATAAAAAAATACAAATTGAATAAAATAGATACTACAAAAAAAATTTATGGAAACAAATAATTATTACCATAAATAGATTTTATCTGTCAATGACACATCAGAAGCGATATTGGAAATAACACGAGAACCGTTCGCGACACCGCGTAGAAGTATTATAGATACGGAAGGAGGACTTTGTGGAATCGCAGATAGGATATCCCACGTAATATTATGAGAGGTTCCTAACGTTAAATTCAAAGAATAGATGATGCTTAATAATGATCATCAATAGCAAATATGTGAATAGACGACAACAATCAATTTTCCACTATAACGTACCCACTTTAAACACATCATTATAATAAGGTTGAATAACTTTAATTGTAATACTTCCATCAGAATTAACATTGTTGTTGTTGTTGCTGTTGTTGCTATTGTTGCTATTGTCATTATTGTTGTTATTATTTGAGGTGCTGTTACTATTACTGCCGCCACTGCTATTATTAGTATTACTATTGCCATTGCTGTTATTGCTGTTATTACTGCCGTTGTTATTTCCGTTGCTACTACCGTTGTTGCTGTTTGCGTTACTATTGTTATTTCCACTGCTATTAGTTCCTCCGTTATTATTATTATTACTATTACCACCACTACTATTACTACTACTATTATTATCACCACCACTGCTACTGCTGCTGCTAGTATTGTTTTGATCAGCTGCAGAAAACGCGAATAATAGTGCACAAACAATATACAAAAGAATAGTAATTTTGACAAATGTGACCTTCATTTCTATTTTTTATTTAATGGAACTTGGTGGTGATGAGTAAAAAAATTCGAGTTTCTAAAGAAAAACCCTTTTCTATGCGTTCTATGGGAAATGTTTATGTCGTTCTTATCGTTATGTATGGAAAAAAAACGTTAATTTGTGAAACTTTAATTTATGCAGGATCCTTTTTTATTATCATTATTGGATATATTTGAGAAAAAAAAATTTGCAAATATCGATATTCTTTGAAATTTTGAAATCGATAAATGTCTGGTCACTCTTATGAAAAATATCAAAGTCCCTTAACGTCACGCTATGCATCCCCCGAAATGTCAAAACTGTTTTCAGCGGCCACACGCTTTTATACGTGGAGAAAACTATGGCTAAACCTGGCTATAGCTGAGAAAGAGCTAGGTCTTGGCATCACTGAAGAAGCCATCCAAGAGATGAAAGAACACCTGGTAAACCAAGAGATGCTCGATAGAATTTTAATATCTAATTTATTTCAAAAAATGAAACCAATCAACTTTTTCCAAATAGACTTTGACTCCTGCTGACTTTGAAACTGCTGCTCTCGAGGAAAAGAAACGGCGTCATGATGTTATGGCTCACGTGCATGCATTTGGTTTGGTTGCACCAAAAGCTGCGGGTATTATTCATCTAGGGGCCACCAGTTGTTTTGTTACCGATAACGGTGACTTGATAATTTTGCGTGATGGCTTAGATTTAATAACAGAAAAATTGGTCAGAGTCATCGATCGTTTGGCCAAATTTGCCGAAGAGTACAAAAATTTGCCAACTTTGGGATTTACTCATTTTCAACCGGCGCAGCTTACTACCGTAGGAAAACGTACAACTTTATGGATTCAGGTTTATTCTCTTCATTTTCCTAATTCATTGGAAAGAAATCAAATATATAGCATTCTTTGATTGCGTTTCTTCTGAAAATTAAATGCTCACAGGAATGTTATAGGAACTTTTATGGGATCTTCGAAACATATCACGTGCGCGGAATGATCTTGGATTCCGAGGAGTCAAAGGAACAACTGGAACTCAGGCTTCTTTTATAACCTTATTTGAAGGAGATCACGAAAAAGTAACTCGACCAACTTTTCGATTTTATTCGCGTTAATAAATGATATATTAATATATATCTATTAGGTCGAAGCATTGGATCGACGCGTAGCTGAACTATCGGGCTTTAATCAAACGTATCCAGTGACCGGTCAAACTTATTCGCGTAAAATTGATATCGACGTTTTAAATGCTTTGAGCTCCTTTGGTGCAACTGCCCACAAAATTGCTACAGACATTCGTCTATTGGCAAATTTCAAAGAGATTGAAGAACCATTTGAAGAGGACCAAATTGGAAGTTCTGCAATGGCATATAAGAGAAATCCAATGCGCTGTGAACGTGTATGCAGTTTGGCTAGACATTTAATGATTCTTTCCCAAGATGCATTAATGACAAATAGCGTCCAATGGTTGGAACGAACTTTGGATGATAGGTACTTAGTTAAGGTCATCCAAATGATTAAGCAATAATTTTAATAAATGATTTTAATAAACATTTTTTTCATCAGTGCTAATCGAAGAATTTCTTTGCCTGAGGCTTTTCTTACCGCCGATATTTTGCTGAGTACTTTGCAAAATATTTCTGAAGGTCTAGTTGTTTATCCAAAAGTAATTTCGCGTCGTATAGCTCAAGAATTACCTTTTATGGCCACCGAAAATATTATAATGGCTATTGTCAAAAAAGGTGGTGATCGACAAGTATGTCATGAAGAGATTCGTGTATTAAGTCATCAAGCTGCGCGGCAAGTAAAAGAAGAAGGAGGTGAGAATGATTTAATAGAACGAATTAAGAAAAACGAGTACTTTAAACCTATCTGGGAAGAGGTAATTATTAAATAATATTAACAAATGCCAAAGCTATGGCTAAAAGTAATTAGTGGGGAACGGAAACTCATTTATTATTATAACAACTTGCTACTCTGTAATTCATATTTAAACTATTTTATTTATGTATTTTGGTAGCTTGATAATCTTTTGGATCCTAAAACTTTTATTGGTCGTGCACCTCAACAAGTTGATCGATTCTTGGCTGATTATGTACGCCCAGTCCTTGCACCTTATGAAGAAACGTTGAAGGTTGAAAAACACGTTACTTTGAATGTATAAAATGAGCACAATATTTCCAAAGGTAAAAAGATTCCTTTTGTGATTGATTTACTTTTCTTTTTTATTACATGATGAATAAGAGACATTTTGCACGTCAGTCAGTAAAGTTTACATGTTGACTAAATTTTTACTATACCCAAATTTCTGATTACTTTCGAATATTATTTGTTGTAATTATTTTCAAGAAAAATTTTAATGTATTTCTTGTAAATATCTATCTTTTAAATACACTTTAGGACTCTAATCGGATAAAGATTTGTATTAAATTTAATATTTTTTTTAATTCAGTCCATTAATACAAGTGCATATCGTATGCTGTGCATGGAACTATAATATTAATTCTTTAATTGATAAAATGTTACTTTATAAAAGTATAATCAATTTTTAGAGAATACAGTAACAGGATCAAATTATTAAATTAATAAAATAATTAATAAAAGGAAAGATATAGTAAAAATTGAAATAAATATTTTTTATTTTTATATTAAAATAAAGCTTTAAATAAGAATTTTTTATTATTAAAACAGAACTTTTAATTAATAAATATTTAATTTAATTTAATTTAATAAAATAAATAGTTTGAAGTCTTTATTTATTAATAAAAATAATTAATATAATTATATAAGATTTTATTATTAATAAATAAAGTATAAAAAAATTTTCAAATAAATTTATCTGAAAATAATTTATAAATTAAGAAATAATTAATACTTATTATAAATAATTACTAAATTTAAATAATAATAATAATAATAATAATAATAATTATTATTATTATTATTATTATTATTATTATTATTATTATTATTATTATTATTATTATTATTATTATTATTATTATACATATTTTAATATAATCTTATTTTTCATTTATAATAATTTAATTTAATTTAATTATAAATAAGTAAAATAAGATATTTGATAAAATAAAAATTATCTATATTATTATATTAAAAATATAAGATATAATTAATTATTATTATATTATTATTATTATTACAGTTTAGGATATTTCCAAATTAGATTGTCTAGCAAAAATCTTTGCTTGTTCAAGATTAATGACTCAATATCATTATATATATTTTAACATTCTTGTTTCACAATTTGAATAATTACATCAATTCTCTTTGCTTGACTATTAAATTGAGTCTCCAATTTGTATACCATAGCGTTGTTTTTCTCACATAATGTTTGATCACACTTCTAACTCTCTACTACGTAATTATATGCATAGTCAAGCCATTTTTTGAGATCACTTATTTCGACCTGGAATAAATGAATATGATCTTTAAGATCTTGTAATATTAACTCATCTATTATCATATCAACTTGCATACCTACTTCACGAGTAGTCTGTTATTCAACTTGGATGCCAATATTACAGCTGGTTTTCATTTGGTCTATTGTTCTATCTACTAAAATTTGTGATATTGAATCAGATTCACTATATCAGGGTCATTTTTGGCTATTTCGCAAAAGATGAGTTTGATCAGAATTTAGAAGACTTTGTCACAGGTGATCATAGACAACAAGTTGGTTATAATGTCTCTCATATAAAGAATAGTCTTCTAAATGAGTTTGAACTTCAACCAATTCAGGAAAAAATTCATTATACATTTGAAGCTGATTT